TTTCCTACGTATATGATATCATCGAGGCCCTCTATAGGATTTTACCGTGTACTTTTTGTTAATGATCCCCTTTTTTGGTGGATGGTTGTATCATAGTCATTGTTACCATCATCAGTTTCATCGTTGTAGGCTAAAGGAGCTTAATACACGCAGGGAAGTGCAGGAGATGATCAGCATTGTGGCCTCAGTATGTAGATGCGCTGGACGCTGAATGTTGTTGTTTTTGTACTGTTACAAATATTTGCCTCCCTTCTTGTAGGAACAATGCTCAAGGTATATTTTTGGGATATCATGCCCGTGAACTTCTGTCACCGTGCTACTTAATATTTCGTTTGCAGACTATCCACCCCTTCGTGCATTTCAAAATCTGCAGCTGAGAATACGCAACGAAGGATCAAAAAATGAGAAATTGATAGCTGGAGGTTATTTAAAAAAAAAACATGCAATGAAAAGGAGCTATTAAGTATAATTTACATTTCGCTTTAAATTCCAATAAAATAACCTTTGCAAAACCAACTTTGTTTTTTGCATTCGCTTACGCAAACTCATCTGCCAATGAAAAAAATAAATAAATACCTTGAACAATTTTAGAGAGAGAGAGAGAGACCCCCAAAAAAAGAAAAAAAAATTCCTGCAAGAAAAAGTCGAGGAAAAACAAAAGAAAGAATAAATTAATTTTATTTTTCAAAAAAAATTGAGATTGGTGCGCTCAAATTCCTCTAAAATTGTTTTTTAGATGCATTAAAAAGAAGTTCAGCGTGAAGCTCGATATCCCAGTTGCGGCTATGAATTCCCCTCAAAAGTGCTGAGCTGGAGAGGCCACAGCCAAAATCCCACATCCTGATACGCAGATAATAATATTCAATATACTCACAAAACATCCCGCATAGTTATTGTTATGTGACCGCCAAAATCATTATAACCTCCAATTTTTTAACATTTATAATCGATTAGAACCATTGTTAAATAAATTTGCGGAGTTTAAATTTCACGATTTCATAATATATAATATATGATTTTTAGCTATTTTTAGTCGTTTTCACGATTGACAAATAATTTCATAGAGACCAAAATTCACGATTTTATGAGCTTTAACCTGCGATTTTTGGTCTTTTTTTTTGTCTAGACCCATTAAAGAGCAATTTCGTAGAGCCTAAAACTCATGAATTTCTTGAGCTATAACCCATGGTATTTTTTCATTTTTGGTCGTTTTGATCCACTGTTAAAATTTTTTGCAGAGTCTAAAATTTATGCTTTCCCATGATTTTTTTATTTTTAATCATTTTGACTCATTGGCAAATAATTCGTAAAACCAAAATTCACGATTTCATGAGCTACATCACAAAATTTGTGTCTGTTTTTACTCATGTTGGCCCAATGGCAAATAATTTCATAGAGGACAAAATTCACAGTTTCATAGTTACAACACATAATTTTTGGCCATTTTTAGTTATTTCGACCAATTAGCGACTAAAATTTGTGGAGCCTAAGATTTAAAACTTCATGGGGGGTATAACTGTGAAGGGAAGACAGCGTGTGGGGTCCACCCACCCACGTGAAGAGATGGAAAGGTTGGAGAAACCGCGTGAAGTGTAAACGTGAGAAGCAAAAGTGGGGGCCACACCACGTGAAGAGTTGAGGATTTCTTTTGCTCGCGATTTCTGGCCCACCCGATCTCATATTGCTATAAATATTTGGCTACAGCCTTTCCTAGGGCTTGGTGCGAAGGTAGAGGGGAATTAATTGTGCGGCTTGGAGGCGTGTGCAATTAAAGGGCTTGAAAAAAAGAGACTGCGGCTGATTTTGCTGCAGTGCGAGCGAGGTCAGAGGCTTTTAGGGAGATTTGTGCGGCTGCAGCAGTGCAAATTTGAGGAGGTGCAAAAGTGTTGGCAGCGTTCTTTTTGGACGGCGTGCAAAGAGTTCTTTTGTACTTTTGAGAGAGATAATTGTGTGAGGGTTTAGATTGAGTGATTGTAAACCCTAGTTGTATTATCTCTCCCTCTAATAGTAGATCCCCCCTCCTTACCCCGTGGACGTAGGCAGTTTGCCGAACCACGTAAAATTGGTTGTTTAAGTTTGTGGCCATTGTAATAGTTTTAGGATCCCTCGACGCGCAGTCCTAGAGCTGACGAGAGGAAGAGCAAATATCCCACTTTGATGGGATATTAGGCTTCAGATTCTTGTTCCCTTTGAGAAACAAGAATTCTTATCGATCTTTCTCTCTTATTGTGCACCAGAAACTCTGTCGAAATTTCCGCTGCGCACAACAAGTGGTATCAGAGCCAGTTTACGCTTGGGCTATTTGGAGGAGAGGAGTAGATCAATTTAGAGGCTCGTTTAGGGCTTCGTTGGTGATAAAGGTGGGATCTTTTGGTAAAGACTCTATCTTTCAGTTTTGGATCTATTCTTTGTTCGTTGGTGCGTAAGATGTCGGGGAAAGAAGGTGCTTCGGGTGTCGAGGGCGGTGCTTCTGGCGAGAAGATTTGGGAGATTCTCGAAAGCAAGTATTTGACCAAGAGTGTGGAAAATCGCTTGCATTTGAAGAGGAGACTTTATCGTTTCCAGTTGAAGAAGGGAACCTCCATTAGAGATCACATGAACCACTACACAAAGCTTCTTGCGGATTTGGCGAATGTGGATGTCAAGATTGAAGATGAGGACAAGGCGTTGCTGTTATTGAGTTCCTTGCCTGACGAGGAATATGAGACCTTCGTCCTTACTCTGATTAAAGGGAAGGCATCACTTTCGTATAGTGAGGTCACTGCTGCATTGGTGAATTATCAGCTTCGGAAGAAGGATAAGGAGAATTCGACTGAGTCAGTAGCAGAGGCGTTGGTCACAAGAGGGAAGAGTCCAAACCGAAAGAATTGGAAGTCACAGTCTAGAGTAGGAAAAGATCAGTGTGCTTGGTGCAAGGAGACTGGTCATTGGAAGAAAGACTGCCCAAAGCTCGACGAATGGATGAAGAATAAGCAGAAGGGAAAAGGGAAGCAACCATCATCAGAAGCAAACATCGTATCGGATGGTAATAATTCTGACTCTTCTATTTATTCGCTTTCTATCAGTCCTACAGATAGCTATTCGGAGGAATCTGAATGGATGTTGGATAGTGGTGCGACCTATCATGTGTGCCCTAGAAGGGAATGGTTCTCCAGTTTTGAGAAGCTGGTGGATAGTGGTGTGGTGTACATGGCTGATAACCGTGCATGCCAGATCCTTGGGATAGGAAGAATTCGCATAAAGATGTTTGACGGGACTGTTAGAGAGTTAAACGATGTGAGATATGTTCCTTCTTTGAGGAAGAACTTGATCTCGATTGGAGCTTTGGTTGGAGAGGGTCTGAAGGTTCGTGTTGAGGACATGGTTCTCGAGATTGCGAGAGACTCTCGTATTTTGATGAAGGGCGTCAGGAGAAATAACCTGTATTACTTGACTGGAGGTATAGTGGCAGGTGGAGAGCTGACGACTTCTGTTGATTCGACTAGACTGCGGCATTTGGGGCTTGGCCATTCCAGTATTGATTCCTCGCATAGATTGAAAGAGGGTGCAAAGACCTGCAGTTTGAAGTCCAGTGAACATGTTGATGTGAGCAAGAAGACCGAGGTGAAGTGTGGCACCTCTATTCACCGTGCTAAGGGTCGTTCTGGAGGAGTTCACGTGGATGTTTGGGGGCCTTCCAAGGGAGCATCATTGGGAGGTAATAGAAGTTTGGTTTCCTTTATTGGTGACTGTTCTAGGCGTGTTTGGGTTGCAACCAAATCCCCATTGGAGAAAGTCCTAGTAGTCTCTAACAGTTTGAAGAAGTGTGTAATAGACAGAAAGGTGAAGGTACTCCATTCTGGTTTTGGTGGGAGGTACAAGATGGACCTATTTCTGTATTGGAGCCGAGCTCACGGCATTTCGAGACACTTCGTTGGAAAGGAAATCTTGGGGCAACTAAATAGGGTGACAAATTTGGAGAACCGTGCCTTACTGGAGGAGGATCGGTGTTTGTTGTCAAGCAATAGTTTGCAGAAGAGTTTCTGGATAGAGGCTTCGACAAATTTGGGTCATCCTATTAAAGAGTTGTCAACTGCTATGATTGGAGGTAAAACTCTATTGGAAGATAGGTCTGGTAGTGTCACTTTGGTTGAGGCTTCAATGAGGAAGCCAATTGACTCTCAGCAGGTGGAGAGTTTTGGACAGACCTTAGAGGTATCGCAGCGGGTGGAGAGTGATGCTACTCCACATTGGGTGAAGATTACTCCAGATCATTCTGCATTGGTTGGGATTCCAGCTGAGGTGACACAGCGTGGAAGTCATTTGGATTCGGATGCAGATGATGAGTTGGGTTTTGAATCGAGTGCAGCTGGCAGACATAGTTTGGATATGGCCATTGGTTCGCCTCAGGTGGAGGTGTTTGAGGCCATTGGAGGTGCTATCAGCCGCAGAGTTGATGATATTGGAGAAGGGTTGCAAACTCTTCTATTGGTTTGAGGTCGTTCGCGGCCATTTGGGTGAACTACGTTCGGCTTGATTCCTTGGGCAAGAGGATACGTAGACAGTCTTTATTATGCAGCCGGGTTGGATTTTGATGGGGGTGAGATCGATTTGGTGAGTTTATACCAACATTTGGACAGTGTTCGCATTCTCATTTGGGTTCTCAACTTATTATGGATTGAGTCCGTTGTCGTGAATTGTTTCACTTCGTACTGGACACAACAAGTGAGACATTTGGTTTGGTCGGTGTCGGCTCAGTTTTGGGAAAACTTCACCGAGGTGGAGAATTGTGAAGGGAGGACAGCGTGTGGGGTCCACCCACCCACGTGAAGAGATGGAAAGGTTGGAGAAACCGCGTGAAGTGTAAACGTGAGAAGCAAAAGTGGGAGCCACACCACGTGAAGAGTTGAGGATTTCTTTTGCTCGCGATTTCTGGCCCACCCGATCTCATATTGCTATAAATATTTGGCTACAGCCTTT